TATCAAGACGTATGTTAAATTATTTATCCACAGGAAGAGGAAATCTCCCTCTACAAGAGTACAATAAGCGGAAACAGGGACATTTGTTTTCCTAGAATTGAGCTGTTCATTTCTGAGAAGTGTTTATTCATTGTTGATTCGTTACATCATGGTTATTTCTGTAGAAGAAAAAGCTTGAGTAAGCATTTATTGGTTTCTCAGGAAATAGAATTTAATCGCAATTGTTCGAATACGTATTGTGGAATGTACGTGTACAGTTAGTGTTGAAGATGAAAAATGTCTTCCCCAGGACCAGGGAAGGGGAAAAAGAAACGAAAAAATAAGGGACGAGGCGCTGCTGGCAGAGGACGTGGCAGAGGACAAGATTTATCCACTCCTGGAAGACAAGAAGGTGCAGGAAAGCCTGTCGGTGATGACGAAGTTGAAGGTGAAGGCGAAGAAAAGTCTGCTACAGGAGCAAGGTCCGTTCCTGAGCCTTCAAGCTCTACAAGAACTGAACATGACGAACTGCCAGAGCCAGAGATAGGGCGAGAGAGACCAAGAAAGACCGACACCAGAGCTAACGAGATAGTAGGGGAAGGCGGTCGAGTTGCTCCTGCCGAGGCCAATTCTACAGCATTTGATGAGCAACAAGAGCCAGGCTGTTCTGCTCCTAGGGCCAAGACCAAATTAAAAGGAAAACAACAACAAGTTCCTGGTCCGAGCAAGTTATCTACGTCATCTCCTTCCTCTGGCACCAACGTTAAGGGTAAGCTTTAAATGAAGATGAATCTGTTTACAGTGGGTTTAAATTTACAGTTCGAAGATTGATGAGCATATTTGTATTGTTCTGGCAGTAAGATTTCATACATACCTCTCGAACCAAGTGAGGATTTCTTGATTTGGCATGGGCAGAAATTTGATTCGGTTTACATTTGGCTTTTTGAAGCTTTATCAGTCCTATTATCTGGGCTAAAAATACCAGCCTGGTTAATTACTTAATCTCAAACCGAGCTGGGCTGAAAGTGGCTGAAGCTAGGCATGGGCTGAAATCTTCTCCAGGTAATCCCTAATTTGATTTCAAGAGGATTTGTTACAGAAGCTGGGCTGATTAATTTCAGCTCCTACCAAACCTGTTGTAATTTCAGCCGGGCTGATAATTGTCATGTAATCACCCCCTTAGGCATGGGTCCCATGTTTGGAGGTGAAAATCTTCTATCTCACAGCTACTCATAGCCTTTTGTACAGAAGCTCTTTGGGCTTGTGATGCAATCTTCCTTCTCAATGAACTTCTGGTGAAACAAACAGCACATTTCTTTCCACTTGTTCATGAACAATAGTAATAGTAATAGTAATTGGACCAAGTGGAGTACAAATCAGGAAGTAATCGCTTGATTAATTTCAAAATCAGATAAGCGTGGAGTGCGAGCCTGATTTGAAATTATGAGCACGATTACTCCCTGAATTGTACAACATGAATTCCAATTACTAATTAACCATATTTATAAAAGATTTTGGAATTACAAATGTCTTTTGATAACTTCTTTCGAACGAAAATGTCTGTGGTGCTTTTCATAAGTTTTGAAAACTGTAGGAAACAGTACAAAGGAAGCCATCAAAGTGCATGCAATTATCCAATTACAGGTATCCAAGTACAAAAAGTTCAAATTGTTTAAGTGTAATTGGACACCCATGTGATCGTGTGTCGATTACGTGACAGATAGGTGCGTGGAGAACCAATCTGGATCGAGAATTTTGTTATAGATACGATTAATAAAGAAACTGTTTTAATGGCGTCTGAACAAGTGAATGTTGTTGGTAATATTGAAGGTAAATTGGACAGGATTTGCCACCCAGGTTCTTATTTCCATAGTAATTAACACACAAAACAATTGAAATTTTTATTCGTTCACTAGTTTAGTCTAAAACTAGTTGCAAAATTGGGACTGAAGAGGAGGAAGTTTTAGTGGCTTAAAATGTAGTCACAAATGCATGTGATCGTGTGGGTCACATTTTCAAGTCCTGCATGTAGACTGAGTTGGTAAACTTCTGGAAAGATGTAAAAGTGTAAAATCCCTTTCATTGGAAGTCCTAGGGAGTCAAACTAGAATTCCAGATGGTTGAAGTAAAAAAACAGAAATCTGGAAGGGAGGGGGGTGTTAATGGTTTTGAAATTCAGAGGGCATCAGGGGGGGAAAAGCATTTTTGAATTTGCTAAGGCAAGGGGGAGAGGGGTGGGTTAAAATGTTCATGCTGCCTGTGGTAGGGTATGGATTGGATATTTTCTAGAATCACCCATTGAACAGTAAATTATGCTTTCAAGTAAGTATGTCCAAAATCTGCAATTTTTCAAATCCAGTCCAAGTTCAGTGAAAGACCATGCTCCTATCCGTTGAAGTCTTTTGCCAAATTTCTCTGGTGCCAAAGTCCCCTGCCTTGATGGGGAAGTGCGCTGTGATTCGGCCACATGCACATCCCTGTATTTCAGCAGACATTCACGGGTGAGGAAGGCTGCATCTGTGTTGGAGGTTAAGCTACCTATACCTATGAATCAACTTTTTTATGCCTATCTGTAATTTTTGGGCAGCTGCATCTTGGCAAATAAAGGTCACAATTTGCTTGCAAGAAAGAAAACATATTTGGGTGTTGTAGATTATCTCTTCAAGTCTCATTATATAATTCCTTAAACATGTATTCCCTAAGGATGTTTGTGCTAATTGTTTCTGGGCATCCTTACTGCGCACGCAAATTCACACGCCATGTCATGCATGGGAGTGCGTGCTAAGTAATAAAATGAACATTGATAGGGTAGATGGCTTTTGCTATAGCTTTGCCTGGATTTAGCAATCTTGGAGGTTCAGTGATCCCTACTTTCCTTTCCAGAAACAGATTTTATTTACAATTATCTCCACATTGTCCAAAAATGAACAAAATATCAATGTGGGAAGTTAAAAAAAAATTTGAGTGTTTCTCTCCACAGGACATCGAATCCTGCCATCTTGCGGCTGCAAGGCACGAGAAACTATGGTTGCTAAAATAATGTGAACTTGTCTTTAAGAAACCTCACCAGTTGACTAAATTCACTTAATAGGTCCACTTAAACAATATTTGGCAGAGAACATTTCTTTTCAATGATCTAATTGCAATATTTTTGGGCTTACAGACACTGTGGCCCCATTCGCTAACGAAGCCTGGTTTTTTCAGATTTAGGGTGTTCTTCCCGGCATGTTCTCTTCAAAACAAAGTCCGTGACTCACCATTTTTTACATTTCTGACATAACTAACTCATCATCTTACAGTGGTAAAAGTCTCGAAAAAATCAACGTTGGAAAAGTAAAAGAAAGTAGTGCGAAAAAAAGCTCTGTTTGAAGAGGGTTTAACTTGATAATTTACTGAGATTTTGCAAGGAAGAATTATGTACATAGTACAAGAACATGCATATGACTACCGTGTTACAAAATAAAACATAACAGGAATTGTACATTGGAGTGCAACAGGATGTACACACTTTGAATCTATCAATCAATTGTAATCCTCTGCAGAACCTCAAAGTGTGGCAGCTGCCAACACCACTGCCTCTACTGTGTCTTCTACTGTGACTGCTGCTGCTGCTGCTGCCGAGGCAGCTAGTGTACCGGCTAGTTCTTCTGCTGCTGTTAAGACAGCTGGTGTCCCAACCACCACTGCTGATGGTAAACAAGATGTAGAAAAATTAGCAACAGAGCTTGCCTCAAGCTTGACTGCAAAAGGTAAATTTAATGGTTTGATTCTGAATATTGACTGTCAGCATTTGTAAAAGTTGTTGTAATTTTTTCGCAGATAGTGGCTAAAATGTACATTGTAGCCTTGGAAAGACAATCAGGAAAGGGATGAAACTATTTATATACATGTGCACTTTGCTATTACCCGTAGCCAACATTAACACACACAGAGCAAGACTGCACCTACAGTATACATGTAGCTCGAAGCTTTTTTACTGCACATGCACCAAGTTTGTCATACACAGGCACTGTACAGCATTAAGGGCCCATTAACCAATTTATGCGTGCAGTCGCGTGTGTTGCTAAGGAGGTGAAATTTCACTTCCGGTTACTTACGTCAGCCTGAGTGCGGAAAATAAAAACAACTCAATAACTTGCAAATTCGCTTATATTTTAGATGTTTTTCCTTGTTTTTCACAAAATGCAAAGTAAAAAAAGTACAAGCAAAGACAAAATAAGAGAAAGACAGAAAAACAAGAGCAATAGAAAGAGAAAAACTAACTCCGTGTGGCTTTGTTTGATCTTACCAAAGTGCACTGGTAATGTAAATTGCACACATGCTGATAGGGTAACTTCGAATATATATCGGGCACACTTCCGGTTTCTTTAAATGCTAAAGGAAACACGGTTTTTCATTAAATCCAGCCTTTTTTGACGGATTTTGATTAAAGCCAATGTTGGAAACATAGCTATGCATTCCTTTTTCAAAATCATGCTTTTTTGCAGAAAATTACGAATTTTTTAATATTTTGAAATTCTCTCAAAATTTGACCTTTTAGAAATGAAACAAAATCTATGCATAGCGTTATGAGGATTTAAATTAAAATATTAAATCAATGAAAAAAAATCCCAATAAAGTAATTTGCCACTAGTGTTGCTGAGCATGAAAAAGTTAAAACACATGAAATAACTCTGAACTAGCTAAAAATGATGAGGTTATATGAGAATAAATTTTCCTTAGCAACACCTTGAAAAGATCAGTTAATGGGCCCTTAAGGCTGCCGTGTCCGTGTGCAGCCCAAAGTGGTGCTGAAGTCCAGGAGTGTTTCTGGGCTTTCTTGCAATGTTCTGACTGCATTAATATTATTGATGGCCCATCTGTAATTATCAGTGGTTGCAAGTCAAATTAATTTAAATAACTTCAAGAACATGGTACTTAAAAAAAGCACACACACACACCAAATCTGATTTTCAGTAAATTGGAGCTTGAAAGTACCTTGTCTCAAGTTATTTTTAATTAATTTGTTAATTACTGTCTAAAGTTTCTTCTTCTCCAACACATAGGTCGTCAAACACAAGGAAATGGTGGACCACATCCCCCTAAGAGACCAGGCTATGGTACTGTAGGTCGCCCTATAAGGTTAAGGGCAAACTTCTTCTGCCTCAATATTTCACCACAACTATCAGATCTCTACCACTATGATGTGGAGATTACCCCAAACAAGTGTCCCCGATCAGTGAAAAGAGATGTTGTGAATGAAATCATAAGGAGGTACAAAGATACAACATTCCAAGGTCACCACCCTGCTTTTGATGGCGAGAAGAATTTGTATAGCAGAATCAAACTTCCTCCAGTGAGTTTATTAAGCTGAATAGTCTTTCTGCTGTGTAAAACTCCTGAACTATTAGGGGCTGGGAGATATTGCATGTACATGTGTATATTAGAGAGACAAATCCTATTACAGTTAAGAACTAACTCCCATGAAGAGTCATCATTCACAAAGTATTACCTCCTATGATGAGGCAACTCAGTTCCCAGGAGGGAGCACTTCCCATAAAAGGGCACCTCCCATAAAGGGACACATTCCATTAAGGCATCCCCAATAAAGGTGCATCTCTCATGAATTCTCATAAAGGGTGTTTCCCAAAGAGAGGAACCTCCCATAAAGGGGTACCTTCCATTATGGGGCACTTCCCATAAAGGGGTTCCACCCATAAGGGGTATTCCCAGAAAGGGCCACCTCCCATAATGGGGCACCTCCCATAAAGTGGCACTTCCCATAAAGGGGTACCACCCATAAGGGGGCACCTCCCAGAAAGGAGCAACTCCAATAAAGGGGTACCCCCCATCAATGCACTTCCCATTAAGGGGAACTTCCCATTAAGAGGCACCTCCCAAATAGGGGAACCTTCTATAAAGGGGCACTGTCCATTAAGGGGTACTAATCTCATAAAGAGACATTTCTGGGCAAAAGGTCACCTTCCATAAAGGGAGACCTCCCATAGAAGGTTACTTTCCATGGCATTGCATGTCAGATAAAGGAGCACCCTGCAGAAAGAGGTACCTTGCATACTGAAGTACCTCTGCTAACGTGTACCTCCCATTATTAAGGGTTATGTCCCGCCCCCACCCCCACCCCCATAAATGTCACTAGTTAAATGAAAACCTTCTGCAGGAAGGCTGCATTACTTTGCAAGGAAAGCTTGTCCTGAGCACATGTACTGGACTAATAGAACTATGTTTTATAATTGAAAAATAAATTGTAGCACCCTTATGTTTACCAGAAGATTTGTGCTCAGTGCTTGTTAACTGAAGTTTGATTTTTTCTGACCGTTGCATAGGCTGAACTTAGTGTCAAGTTGGCTGGTGAGGATGGAGGAAAAGACAGGGAATTTAAGGTCACTAACTTAATCTAAATAGTATGTATACCATAAGAAACATATTATGCCTGCACCAAGCACTACTTGTACATGTAAGTGTCTAAGACACTTGGAAGCGCTGCAACGACTGCTGCATAAATGTTAATGAACAGAAAAGTTTTAGGGAGGCAAATGTATTCAGTAAGGCATTTTTAGGCAGTCATTTCCCAATGGAATGGGTGGATGACAACTGCTCATAATTATGCAGGGGCTGTTTCACCAAATCTTAGAGTATTTAAGGTGGCTCGATACACTTTTTTCTGGACCATACCCAGCATTTTCAATTGGCATTTTACCAAACTTCCCTTATCTGATTGATGTGGAAATTACACCAGTTTTTGGAAAAAGATTGAAGTTTGGTTGAATGTGTTTCTTAAGGTAATTGATATTTCCAGGGAAACAATAAACCAAATATATTGATTTCGAATATATTGCAAAAACATTTCAAACCACGCTTTTTGTTTAATGAAATTAAATGGGCTGAAGGAAGGACACAATTCTGATGAAATTGCTCCAATGTTCTAAATTTATTATGAAAGTTGAGAAAAAGTTGATGATGATGAGAAAAAGTCTTGATCTCAAGATCAAGAAAACACAAACCAACAAAACTTTCATGGCTTCAAAACAAAACTTCAAGACACATTTTGGTGTCTTTTGGAGCAATTGCATTAAAATAGTGTCCTTCCTTTAGTCCATATTATTTCATTAAACAAAAAGCATGGTTTGCAATGTTTTCACGATTTATTTGAAATCAAACATACAGAATTTTTTTATTCTTGCATATTCACATTGCCATACATTGTAATTTCAGAAATTGGCATCAGATTTTCTATAACAGATCTGGTTCGCACAAAATTCACGCTTTACCGATTTTCTTATTTTTAGTTTATCATTTCCATGGAAATATCAATTACCTTAAAAAAAACACTTTCAACCAAACATCAATCTTTTTTCAAAAACTGGTGTAATTTCCACATTGATCAGAGTAAGGGAGGGTTGGTAAAATGCCAATTGAAAATGCTAGGTATGGGCCAGAAAAAACTCTATCAAACCACCTTAATAGTTTGTTAGCACGTTTTATATTAAATAATGATGTACAATATCATTTAAGAGTGTACATATTTAAGAACCCCGAGCTTGTAGCCTTGGAATTTTCAGTGATCCCTCTTGTGGTGCATGGATATTTTCTAAAAATGCTCAATCTGAACTTCTGGTTTTGCAGAGGGTTGACTCAGAGTGAGACTGAGATAATGGCAAACCCAGTGCAATAGTACTGAATCACCTATAAATCTATGCAAGTTGGTACATGTAGGTCCTTCACACAAAAGAAGGTTTCTAATGTTCTTCGTTATTGTTTCATCTATAGGTTAAAATCCAGTTTGCAGCATCAGTTAGTCTCCTTGAATTAAATAACTTCCTGAGTGGTAAACAAAATGGAAAAGTGCCTCAAGATGCAGTTCAGGCATTAGATATTGTCATGCGGGAGATGCCATCATCTTATTACACACCTGTGGGGCGATCATTCTTCCCATTTGATGCCCAAGGGAGACCCCTGGGTGAGGGGTGTGAGGTGCGGTTTGGTTTCTATTCAAGTGTTAGACATTCTGAGTGGAAGGCTATGCTGGTGAACATTGACGGTAAGCAATATCAATGATGATTTTTACAGGAACAGGTACATTGCTGGCCAGGCTGGGGACTGGTCCGATTTTCCTCAGCTTACTTTACTTGATGGTAAACTTAACACTAGAGACTAAGCAAAAACATATAGAGAATCTCTACCGTACTGATACACTTTTGTCTAATACACACCACAGTGGAACTATTAATTTTTTTGTTCTGTGAAATTTTTGATTATCACTGTTTCAGCCACATACAGTAGTACAGCAAGTGTATGTTCACATACAAATTAAAGGCTGTTGCAATTTGACAATCGTGGGGTCAATTACTCTTTTCAAAAAAAAAAAAACATTTGGAGAGTATAGAATCATACTATCTTACTGTTATGTCCTTAATACATGTTTTAAATGTGTTTTCAACTAGGAAACCACTCTAAATGTAATGAATTTCGATTTAACACCGTCATTCAATTCAAAAATTTGTGCCAGCCCTGAAGATTGATTCAAGATAATATTCAAGGAAATGCTTCTGCTCAAACTTTTACCATACCCACATTTTTCATGATTATATCAACTTAATAACATCTGCGCGTACATGAATTTTAGACTGTTTGACATTGATTGCTTGTGTAGATCACTCTTCGAAAAGTTGAAAAAAAAAAAAGATGTTTGCATTTTTGTTAGACAGTATAATTTGAGTATTAATTGCTATATCTGCCCAGAAGACATAAAGTTAGCTTATGTCTGCAATTACACTTTGAGCATCAAATGTTGAATAGCCATCATTTTCTTGGTTATTTCATTTCAGTCTCTGCAAAAGGTTTTTACAAGGAACAACACGTCATAGACTTCCTATGTGAAACTCTTGGACGAGATGTAACGCCTCAAAGTCTGGAAGACCGTAATTTTCGGCTTGATAAACATAGACTTGAGAAGGCCATACGTGGTAAGAGTGCATAAGATCTTAGTTGCACGGTATAACGTAAACTTAAATCATAATAAATGCAAAATTGGTC